TGTTTCTGTGCTTTTCATTGTGTGTTGGTGACTTTAATGATATGTAAAAAGTGTACAAGGTGCATACAGTTTTGTCACAAATATAAAATTTATGAAAAAAAGATTTAATCTTTTAGTCTTTGAAATTTGTGTTGCATAACCAGTTTCCTATTGGAATTTTATCACAAAAGTAGCAACTTTTATCAACTATTATCAAACTGTAATCATATCAGCAAAACAATGGACTGGTATATTGGGCCACTTAGTCATTTTTAGTGAGTTAAATTTCTTCCCCACTCATGCAGAAGGGAATTTATGACTCTGCTTTGATTAATAAACTTGCTTTTTATATGTTTTTTTCCAAATTAATCACATTTAAAAGTTTTCAAAAGCACATTGGTCTATTGTTCTTATATTTAGATGCATGTTGTTTGAAGGCCACGATGTGCTAACCCCTGGACTTAGGAACACAGCTTAACCTCTCACACTAAGGTGGCATTTTTGAATTCTGTTAAAGCTTCAAACACTGCTTGAGGTTATTAGTCAGAGATATTCACTCAGTAACTGACTACCATGAACCCAAGAACAGAGTTCCTAGCAGACCTTACTTTATCATATTAGTAATTCAGGACAATACCCAAATCCTTCTAAATTAATAACAATCTACAGTTATAGGCAGCCCCCTCCTTCTACCTTCAGATGTTACTCTACTGAGAAAGTTTTAGGAGTCAGTATACTCTGGCTCTTTGAGGAAGTGTTTAGGTTAGTCTGAAATAACCTATAAAAGCTGACATTGGCCATGTAAGACTATGATTTTAGTGCACAGTGTTTAGCTGGCATTAGTTGACTTCCTGGGATTGGAATGGTCTCTTCCAGTGAATGTACTCTTGTTCATCTGTTTGCTGTGGTTTTTAAAGCATTTTTGTCACTTAGACTACATTTTCTTCTCCAGTCAGACTCCTCTTCTGGTATTCAGGTGGTTGTCAGTTAGAAATGTTGGGTTATCTTTCTGTCGGCATCCAGTGCAATGCCTGTAACTAACCCCCTGCACCATCTGTTCACTACAATGATTTAGCATTTTCTACTGTTATCTTTCTTACACATATTCAGTTACACACACAGAAATCATTAGCTGATTAAATCTACTGTTGTCTACAGCTATCACTGCTGTCTGATAATCTGCTCTCTTTGACACACCCTCCTGTATAAAAATTATGTTCTTATGTGTTTATGAATAATGAGGATGAAATATGAACATGCTGATATAAAATTCCATGTGAGCCAGTATGAAATGTACCATTCACCAGGTGAACATGGACCATAACCCTTCTATGGACCATAAGCGCTGAAGTGCACTCGGCCGCTTGATGTCCTGACTGTGACTCAACACTGACACCTCTCTACTTGTGTCTCCAGATTCAGACACACCCTTGTCAACCAGTCACATATCCAGCTCTGTTAACGGCACCAAGGAGCCTGACGGTGTCACCTTCTTCATCCTGCAGGGCCTCTCCAGCCTCGGTGACAGACAGATGATCCTGTTTGTCATCCTGCTGCTGGGTTACATCATCATCCTGGGAGGAAACAGCATGATCATCTTTGTGGTAAATAAAGTTATGTGTGTCTGTATTTAATCAATTTTGTCTCAATATGAGTAAGACCAAATTATTAGTTCTGTAGTAACTGACACTTACTGTATTTCTCATGCAGACACTGACTGATCCAAAGCTCCACTCTCCCATGTATTTCTTCCTCTGCCACCTCTCCTTTGTGGACATAGTCTACACCACCACCACCATCCCAAAAATGCTGTCTGGCTTCCTGTCAGACTTGTCAATCATCTCAGTCCCAGGCTGCTTCCTCCAGATGCATTTCTTTATTCAGCTAAGCATTACTGGCTATGGAATCCTTACTGCAATGGCATATGACCGCTATGTGGCCATCTGTCACCCTCTGCACTACACCTCCATCATGACCCGACGTGTCCAGTTGCTCCTCATAGCAGGAGCCTGGGGGTTCAGCACTGTTTGCCCACTGTCAGCCACTATCATTGCCTTAATTCGACCTTACTGTGGCCCAAATGTTGTGGGACACGGATGGTGTGACATGTCATCTGTAAGGCGTCTGGCCTGTGCTGACACCTCAGTCGATAACATTGTGTCTCTTTTTTTGGCCACTGTGTCTCTACTGATCCCAGGAGTCCTCATCCTGACCTCCTATGTCCTGATTGGCATTGCAATATTGAGGATGGGTGTTGCTCAGAGGCTCAAAGTCTTTGGCACATGTGCTGCCCACCTGACTGTGGTGTCCATCTGTTTCAGCTCAGCTGCCTTTGTCTACATTTCCTACCGAGTTGGAAATTTTTCACCAGAGGTACAATGTTTACTTTTACCTAGGTTTTAGTCTGTCTCACCAAACATTACATTTAAGATGCTTTTGTCAGAAAAAGTTCAGTGGCTGCAGTCACATCACATCAGTTTAAGACATAATTATAAGCAATTTGAATAGGAAAACCTTTCTCACCAGCCTCTGACTGATGTTTCTAGGTAGGAGATTTTGGGAGTTTTTGACAAAAACTAAAACAAACTCCAAACATGTTGGCAGAATGACTGCAAATTCCCCACAACTGGAGGTTGCATCACATTAAAGCATTATTAACACTAACACAGTCAAGTCAGCTGTATCTGGTTTCACTTGGTAACAAATTGCGACAGAACAAAGGCAGCTAATGTTGGTTGTTCATGTGGAGTGACTACAGGTCAACACACAGCCTCACCATCTTGAAATAATATCTGAACACTCCCAAGTCAGAAGTTAGGAGTTGGAGCGGGTCATCTCCTAATCAGAGGGTTGGTGGTTTGAATCCCGGCTTCTCCAGTTCACATGTTGAAGTGACTTTGGGGAAAACACTGAACCCCAGGTTGTTTCTGGTGACTGTGCCATCAGTGTGTAGGTGTGTAGAAGTAAAACATTATTTATGTGCATGAATGGAAATTAGTGTAAAAGTGCTTTGTGTGCTTCGCTGCATAGAAAAGTACTATACAAGTATAAAATCATTTACCACAAGTAGATCATCTTGTGCCTTATGATCCTGTCCATGACATTCACAAATAGTATTGGAGATTAGGAGCAACCCTGGTGGGTCAGTCATAGGCTTTCTCCAGGTGCACAAAGCACATGTAGACTGGATGGGCAAACTCCCACGACCCCTCCAGTAGATTTGCAAGGGTAAAGACGTGGTGCACTGTTCCACAGCCAGGAAGAACAAGGAGTGCTTTTCTGACATTGCCTGAATGAAGAATATCAAAGACATTAGGTCCACTGTTTTGTGTTTTCAAAGCTTTCAAGCACGTCACATGTTCTTGATGAAGTTGCTCAGTTTTCATGGAGATGACTGAACAAAAGGTTTGCCAGTTACAGAAACCACACAGTTTGTTGGACAACAAACTAATCTACCTTGTCAAGTCAATGGGAAAAAATATATTACATAGAAAGTCAACATTGTGTGTCCACTTTCTTTTTTAGGTTCGTATCATTGTAGCTGTGCTGTACGCTGCTCTGACCCCTTTTCTGAACCCAGTGATCTACAGTCTGAGGAACAAGGAGCTGCAAGAGTCCATCAGAAGGACACTGGTCAGGGTCAGATTTGCTGTTCTTTCAGCTATGAAGAACATCGTCATATTGTCCTGACTGGACACTGTCTTTGAAAATTTTTATTTAGAAATGATGCAGTTGTTTTTAACTAGTTTTTATTAATTGTACAGCAATCATGTGGTGTTGACAGGTCCTTTCATGTTGTGTCTTAATCAACTCCAGACTGAGGCATTTCACACCTTCTTTTAAAAATTGTGAATCTTTTCTTTGGTATAGTAAATTCTTGTATTCACTTTGTATCACACATAGAGCTGTCAAAGTTAATGCAATAATAATGAGTTATTGTAATTTCCTTTTAATGGCACAAATTTTTTGACACCATTTACATGTGCACGTTCTGTAATTATGACCCTTGGCCCACCCAATATTTTGGGAAATCTGAAAGCAGTGCAGCAGTAACGTTGTGGATGGCAAGCAGAAACACACCTTGAGCAGAAACTGATAAAAGCGTCCTTTGACTGGGCAAACGTGATTGATCACGATTAAATATTTTGATTGATTGGCCGCACTAAATATACAACATATTGAGCATCGTTAACAATAACGTGACACATTCAAGTACATGATCAAAATCTGATCCAGTCTGTTTTGCCCAACTCCATTATTCACCCTATTTCTTTCAAGTAAATACTGTTTCATTAGCTCACTTTTGGAATTATTCTCCCCCAGTTTGTTCAACCATTACTCCACTAGTGAATTGCCAGCATTATTGACTATCTTCTTGGGCATGAAAAGAGGACTGGCCATTCTCTGAAGACTTCTTTGTACATGGAATAATCTTTCTTTTCATCATTCATTTCTACCTTCTCCATTTTGTCCTGTTTATCTTCTTGTTTGTGATATTTTGTGTTCTCTGAATGTTACCATGGTGATGTCACCCAGAAGTGGACATCACTTTTCCAGACGGTTCGGTTCACAGATATGCAACCCCAAGAAAAAATTCTTTGATGGACCTGACGGTGTTGTAACACTGGTTCACTTGTCAGATGACCTTCAAGATCTTTACATGCTATCTTAGAATTCAGCTTTACACATTACTTTATTGGTGAAACCTGGAGCTTATGCAAAAAATCTAGGACCCATGGTGCAAATTGTGTGAAGGCCACAGACTGGATGTTATTCATCCTTTAACACGAGCATTCTTGAACAAACTGCCTTCAGCTCTGTGGGCCACCGGTCCCACCGACGTAGGGATAAATCAAAACGGACCCGGTCAAATTTTCTTTGCGTGAGGGGGCGGTGCCTGTTTACAGAGCCCAGTACCCACTCACACAGCAGCAAGGCAGGGAAGAAAAAACTGTTCATGGACTTTTGGAAGCTGGAGTTTTGATTCCTACTCACTCTCCTTGGCTGTAAGGCGTCTGGCCTGTGCTGACACCTCAGTCGATAACATTGTGTCTCTTTTCTTGGCCACTGTGTCTCTACTGATCCCAGGAGTCCTCATCCTGACCTCCTATGTCCTGATTGGCATTGCAATATTGAGGATGGGTGTTGCTCAGAGGCTCAAAGTCTTTGGCACATGTGCTGCCCACCTGACTGTGGTGTCCATCTGTTTCAGCTCAGCTGCCTTTGTCTACATTTCCTACCGAGTTGGAAATTTTTCACCAGAGGTACAATGTTTACTTTTACCTAGGTTTTAGTCTGTCTCACCAAACATTACATTTAAGATGCTTTTGTCAGAAAAAGTTCAGTGGCTGCAGTCACATCACATCAGTTTAAGACATAATTATAAGCAATTTGAATAGGAAAACCTTTCTCACCAGCCTCTGACTGATGTTTCTAGGTAGGAGATTTTGGGAGTTTTTGACAAAAACTAAAACAAACTCCAAACATGTTGGCAGAATGACTGCAAATTCCCCACAACTGGAGGTTGCATCACATTAAAGCATTATTAACACTAACACAGTCAAGTCAGCTCTTTTGTTTGGAGCTTTACACTGTTTGTTTGTATCTGGTTTCACTTGGTAACAAATTGCGACAGAACAAAGGCAGCTAATGTTGGTTGTTCATGTGGTGTGACTACAGGTCAGCACAAGGCCTAACCACCTTGAAATAATATCTGAACACTCCCAAGAGTGACTACAGGTCAACACACAGCCTCACCATCTTGAAATAATATCTGAACACTCCCAAGTCAGAAGTTAGGAGTTGGAGCGGGTCATCTCCTAATCAGAGGGTTGGTGGTTTGAATCCCGGCTTCTCCAGTTCACATGTTGAAGTGACTTTGGGGAAAACACTGAACCCCAGGTTGTTTCTGGTGACTGTGCCATCAGTGTGTAGGTGTGTAGAAGTAAAACATTATTTATGTGCATGAATGGAAATTAGTGTAAAAGTGCTTTGTGTGCTTCGCTGCATAGAAAAGTACTATACAAGTATAAAATCATTTACCACAAGTAGATCATCTTGTGCCTTATGATCCTGTCCATGACATTCACAAATAGTATTGGAGATTAGGAGCAACCCTGGTGGGTCAGTCATAGGCTTTCTCCAGGTGCACAAAGCACATGTAGACTGGATGGGCAAACTCCCACGACCCCTCCAGTAGATTTGCAAGGGTAAAGACGTGGTGCACTGTTCCACAGCCAGGAAGAACAAGGAGTGCTTTTCTGACATTGCCTGAATGAAGAATATCAAAGACATTAGGTCCACTGTTTTGTGTTTTCAAAGCTTTCAAGCACGTCACATGTTCTTGATGAAGTTGCTCAGTTTTCATGGAGATGACTGAACAAAAGGTTTGCCAGTTACAGAAACCACACAGTTTGTTGGACAACAAACTAATCTACCTTGTCAAGTCAATGGGAAAAAATATATTACATAGAAAGTCAACATTGTGTGTCCACTTTCTTTTTTAGGTTCGTATCATTGTAGCTGTGCTGTACGCTGCTCTGACCCCTTTTCTGAACCCAGTGATCTACAGTCTGAGGAACAAGGAGCTGCAAGAGTCCATCAGAAGGACACTGGTCAGGGTCAGATTTGCTGTTCTTTCAGCTATGAAGAACATCGTCATATTGTCCTGACTGGACACTGTCTTTGAAAATTTTTATTTAGAAATGATGCAGTTGTTTTTAACTAGTTTTTATTAATTGTACAGCAATCATGTGGTGTTGACAGGTCCTTTCATGTTGTGTCTTAATCAACTCCAGACTGAGGCATTTCACACCTTCTTTTAAAAATTGTGAATCTTTTCTTTGGTATAGTAAATTCTTGTATTCACTTTGTATCACACATAGAGCTGTCAAAGTTAATGCAATAATAATGAGTTATTGTAATTTCCTTTTAATGGCACAAATTTTTTGACACCATTTACATGTGCACGTTCTGTAATTATGACCCTTGGCCCACCCAATATTTTGGGAAATCTGAAAGCAGTGCAGCAGTAACGTTGTGGATGGCAAGCAGAAACACACCTTGAGCAGAAACTGATAAAAGCGTCCTTTGACTGGGCAAACGTGATTGATCACGATTAAATATTTTGATTGATTGGCCGCACTAAATATACAAATCATTTACCACAAGTAGATCATCTTGTGCCTTATGATCCTGTCCATGACATTCACAAATAGTATTGGAGATTAGGAGCAACCCTGGTGGGTCAGTCATAGGCTTTCTCCAGGTGCACAAAGCACATGTAGACTGGATGGGCAAACTCCCACGACCCCTCCAGTAGATTTGCAAGGGTAAAGACGTGGTGCACTGTTCCACAGCCAGGAAGAACAAGGAGTGCTTTTCTGACATTGCCTGAATGAAGAATATCAAAGACATTAGGTCCACTGTTTTGTGTTTTCAAAGCTTTCAAGCACGTCACATGTTCTTGATGAAGTTGCTCAGTTTTCATGGAGATGACTGAACAAAAGGTTTGCCAGTTACAGAAACCACACAGTTTGTTGGACAACAAACTAATCTACCTTGTCAAGTCAATGGGAAAAAATATATTACATAGAAAGTCAACATTGTGTGTCCACTTTCTTTTTTAGGTTCGTATCATTGTAGCTGTGCTGTACGCTGCTCTGACCCCTTTTCTGAACCCAGTGATCTACAGTCTGAGGAACAAGGAGCTGCAAGAGTCCATCAGAAGGACACTGGTCAGGGTCAGATTTGCTGTTCTTTCAGCTATGAAGAACATCGTCATATTGTCCTGACTGGACACTGTCTTTGAAAATTTTTATTTAGAAATGATGCAGTTGTTTTTAACTAGTTTTTATTAATTGTACAGCAATCATGTGGTGTTGACAGGTCCTTTCATGTTGTGTCTTAATCAACTCCAGACTGAGGCATTTCACACCTTCTTTTAAAAATTGTGAATCTTTTCTTTGGTATAGTAAATTCTTGTATTCACTTTGTATCACACATAGAGCTGTCAAAGTTAATGCAATAATAATGAGTTATTGTAATTTCCTTTTAATGGCACAAATTTTTTGACACCATTTACATGTGCACGTTCTGTAATTATGACCCTTGGCCCACCCAATATTTTGGGAAATCTGAAAGCAGTGCAGCAGTAACGTTGTGGATGGCAAGCAGAAACACACCTTGAGCAGAAACTGATAAAAGCGTCCTTTGACTGGGCAAACGTGATTGATCACGATTAAATATTTTGATTGATTGGCCGCACTAAATATACAACATATTGAGCATCGTTAACAATAACGTGACACATTCAAGTACATGATCAAAATCTGATCCAGTCTGTTTTGCCCAACTCCATTATTCACCCTATTTCTTTCAAGTAAATACTGTTTCATTAGCTCACTTTTGGAATTATTCTCCCCCAGTTTGTTCAACCATTACTCCACTAGTGAATTGCCAGCATTATTGACTATCTTCTTGGGCATGAAAAGAGGACTGGCCATTCTCTGAAGACTTCTTTGTACATGGAATAATCTTTCTTTTCATCATTCATTTCTACCTTCTCCATTTTGTCCTGTTTATCTTCTTGTTTGTGATATTTTGTGTTCTCTGAATGTTACCATGGTGATGTCACCCAGAAGTGGACATCACTTTTCCAGACGGTTCGGTTCACAGATATGCAACCCCAAGAAAAAATTCTTTGATGGACCTGACGGTGTTGTAACACTGGTTCACTTGTCAGATGACCTTCAAGATCTTTACATGCTATCTTAGAATTCAGCTTTACACATTACGTCAGATTTGCTGTTCTTTCAGCTATGAAGAACATCGTCATATTGTCCTGACTGGACACTGTCTTTGAAAATTTTTATTTAGAAATGATGCAGTTGTTTTTAACTAGTTTTTATTAATTGTACAGCAATCATGTGGTGTTGACAGGTCCTTTCATGTTGTGTCTTAATCAACTCCAGACTGAGGCATTTCACACCTTCTTTTAAAAATTGTGAATCTTTTCTTTGGTATAGTAAATTCTTGTATTCACTTTGTATCACACATAGAGCTGTCAAAGTTAATGCAATAATAATGAGTTATTGTAATTTCCTTTTAATGGCACAAATTTTTTGACACCATTTACATGTGCACGTTCTGTAATTATGACCCTTGGCCCACCCAATATTTTGGGAAATCTGAAAGCAGTGCAGCAGTAACGTTGTGGATGGCAAGCAGAAACACACCTTGAGCAGAAACTGATAAAAGCGTCGTTTGACTGGGCAAACGTGATTAATCACGATTAAATATTTTGATTGATTGGCCGCACTAAATATACAACATATTGAGCATCGTTAACAATAACGTGGCACATTCAAGTACATGATCAAAATCTGATCCAGTCTGTTTTGCCCAACTCCATTATTCACCCTATTTCTTTCAAGTAAATACTGTTTCATTAGCTCACTTTTGGAATTATTCTCCCCCAGTTTGTTCAACCATTACTCCACTAGTGAATTGCCAGCATTATTGACTATGTACCTACTGTGTTACTTACCATACCTGCACTGCCAGTCCTGATTCTTGCCTTCACTTTTTGGATTATATTGCAAGAATTTGTTATAGATGTTATACAAATACATAATCAAAATTATTGCTAAAATCCCTGCTCCAGCCTGCAGTGGCAGTGATGAGTCTGACCTTTATTACTTAACACCTGCAGGCCTCCGAATGGCTAGATTAGCAACAATATTAAAACAATTTCAACATAGAGATTTAGATACAAGTAGAACAAGAATCCCCTCCTTGGACCGCCACCTTATTGTGGTGGAGGGGTCACCAAGAGTGGACATCCTCAGTGTCCCCCTGCCGGCTCAATGATCCACTGTTGGTGAACGTGCAGCAATGGGGAGGACCACTGTTGGGTAGGTACGCAAGCACACGCACATTTATATTTTCCTTTCTATACCTGTGAGGACACTCACTGACATAAATCTCCTAACGCAATCCTAAACCTAAGTCTGTCCTTGAGCCTACACCTGTCTTAACCCTCAAACAGTCCACTGAGTTTATGGGAACGAACCAAAATGTCAAACACCTCAAGCAGATAGTTGTTACCCTAGGGGGTGTTCTTCGTAGGTGTATTAATGGATTAGGCAGATAATTTTTTTTGACAATTTCATATTATCCTGAATTTGCTGGTTGTTCAAAAGTCTCACAGGCCTTGTTGTCATGTCATAATCTCAAACCTGCTTGGAAGCAGGTTGGTTCTCAGGCTTATTCAATGCAAACAAGATAACTTCACAGATTGAAAGGGTCTTGGAGCAGGAAGCGACTCAATGTCATCAGAGTGATTGTAATAAGACCCAAGTTTAAAGTAAACAGCTGGTACTAAGAGATTTACAGAACAATTTGTCCCAACCAAAACAATGTCTTAATCAAACCATTTGTACTGTTTCAGTCAGAAAGAAATAATTTACTGAGCTGGATTGTTGGTACCTTTCTCATTATAGGGTTGTTAATGTGAAAATTTAAGTGTCATTTTCTGAGCTATGAGTGTACCTGGCTCTGCAGCTATTCCTGTGAGTGTTTAAGTCTGCCTTCCTCCTATGTGCCTTAAGAACAAACAGATCTAAAGCTAATTATCACAAAACTAAAAGTCGGTCCCTCTGGTGTTCCTTTGCTATCCCATGTCCAATTTACATTTTTGATGCAAAGGATCTGATGTAAAGGACTGAACCTGACTGGGCAGAGCCGAGTCTGATTCACGTCTTCAGTTATAATCAGAATAAAGGTCAGTTGTTGCTGAAAAGCCAGAGTGTGGAGCTAAGATGAAGTCCTGCCTTTATCGGATTGAACCTGACTGAGCAGATCCGAGTCTGATTCACGTCTTCAGGTAAGATGATGATGTTCACATGTTGTATAGATCATGGTCTGGTGTTTGCAAGTTGTTTTCTATTGTGCAGGGGCTGAGATGTTTAAAGCCTGATCACTGTTTATTACCTGTGTCTTGTGTGCTATCAAATGGAGCTTGTGAACAGATGAAGTTAGTCTGCACTTGTTGTCTGTTGACAGCAGATCTGTCTCCATCCAGCCATCTATCCATTTGTCTGTGCTGAGGAGAAATGGAGCTTTGGCCGCTTCAGGTGTCACTTGAAAGCCCCAGAGGTCTGTGAGTGTTTCTGTGCTTTTCATTGTGTGTTGCTGACTCTGTGCTGCACTGGTTTCATGGTGTGTGAGCTTTGTATTTGACCTGAAAGTGAATCAAATATTTACTCCTTCAGATTTTGTGCTAATTTTACTTCAGTTCCTCATACTGCATTTATCATTCAGTATGGTCATGATTGTTCTGCTTTTGAGCTGTTTTTGCAATGAATGATTATTTTTTCTAATCCCTGTTCTGGTAGCTTTGGTCCTCTAATGTTAATGTTATCTGATGTTTCCATACTAGTAAGAATGTGTAATGTATATTCTGTTCTTTGCCACTGCCAGAGCTATCAATCCAAGTAACAAGAGTGAGCATAGATGTTGCTTTGCAACCCCACCTAGAATTTTTTTTACATAATACATTTGTGTCTGACTATTTTTTTTAGTTTTGTCTAACTTATTATTTTTTATTAATTTATGAAATGTTGAAATACAGTGACACAGTAGTAAGTAGTGCAACTGTCCAGGGTCTGAGGCCATGTCTTTTTTTTTATTCAACCAACAGACACAACAAAAACTAAAGTGGAGTCATAAAAACTATTTGCTTGAAAATATGTTTTTCTGCACATTGATGATCAATGTTTCAATTAATTATTTAAGCACAAAAAGACAAACAGGGTCATATTGGATCTTTATGTAATTCAGAAGCAGAGAAGCAGAAGCTTTAATTGGCATTGTTCCAGTACAATGAAATTTAAGAAAGCTGTAATTGTAAAAACAGTGCAAGTTAAATTGATAAAAATGATTGCATGCAAATCACACACCAACAAAATGTAATGCAATAACTTAAAGGAAACCCCAGTCAGTTTATAGGTTAGAAGAGTTCAAGGTTCTAATGGCCCAGGGAAAGAAGTTGTTTGCAAGTGTTTTTGTTCTGCTTTTTATGCTCCTATCCTGCCTCCCAGAGGAAAGCAAGGCAAATAAACAGTGGCCGGGAGGAGAGGGCTCTTTTATGATTTTTACGATTACTGTGCATTTTTAAAGTTGAAATGCTCATCTCAGTGTATGTTTGCTGAAATTTATAAACACTTCTATAAGTTGCATATTTGACTGGGTTTAGCTCCCGGAATATTTCTAATGCCACATATGCTTGTACATGCACATTTTCAAGATTTAATTTGAGCTTTGAGAAACTTTGCCTGCAGTGTAGACGTCAGCACATGCATCATTCAGACAAGGAGAAACAGGGCAACAGTGAATTTTAAGCAAAACATTTCTTTGAGTTGAAGGAGCGTTTGACCATGACCATGATCGTTGAAGTACACTCAGCCTCCTGATGTCCTGACTGTGATTCAACACTGACACCTCTCTACTTGTGTCTCCAGATTCAGACTCTCGCTTGAAAGCCCCAGAGGTCTGTGAGTGTTTCTGTGCTTTTCATTGTGTGTTGCTGACTCTGTGCTGCACTGGTTTCATGGTGTGTGAGCTTTGTATTTGACCTGAAAGTGAATCAAATATTTACTCCTTCAGATTTTGTGCTAATTTTACTTCAGTTCCTCATACTGCATTTATCATTCAGTATGGTCATGATTGTTCTGCTTTTGAGCTGTCTTTGCAATGAATGATTCTTTTTTCTAATCCCTGTTCTGGTAGCTTTGGTCCTCTAATGTTAATGTTATCTGATGTTTCCATACTAGTAAGAATGTGTAATGTATATTCTGTTCTTTGCCACTGCCAGAGCTATCAATCCAAGTAACAAGAGTGAGCATAGATGTTGCTTTGCAACCCCACCTAGAATTTTTTTTACATAATACATTTGTGTCTGACTATTTTTTTTAGTTTTGTCTAACTTATTATTTTTTATTAATTTATGAAATGTTGAAATACAGTGACACAGTAGTAAGTAGTGCAACTGTCCAGGGTCTGAGGCCATGTCTTTTTTTTTATTCAACCAACAGACACAACAAAAACTAAAGTGGAGTCATAAAAACTATTTGCTTGAAAATATGTTTTTCTGCACATTGATGATCAATGTTTCAATTAATTATTTAAGCACAAAAAGACAAACAGGGTCATATTGGATCTTTATGTAATTCAGAAGCAGAGAAGCAGAAGCTTTAATTGGCATTGTTCCAGTACAATGAAATTTAAGAAAGCTGAAAGTAAACCTCAGTCAGTTTATAGGTTAGAAGAGTTCAAGGTTCTAATGGCCCAGGGAAAGAAGTTGTTTGCAAGTGTTTTTGTTCTGCTTTTTATGCTCCTATCCTGCCTCCCAGAGGAAAGCAAGGCAAATAAACAGTGGCCGGGAGGAGAGGGCTCTTTTATGATTTTTACGATTACTGTGCATTTTTAAAGTTGAAATGCTCATCTCAGTGTATGTTTGCTGAAATTTATAAACACTTCTATAAGTTGCATATTTGACTGGGTTTAGCTCCCGGAATATTTCTAATGCCACATATGCTTGTACATGCACATTTTCAAGATTTAATTTGAGCTTTGAGAAACTTTGCCTGCAGTGTAGACGTCAGCACATGCATCATTCAGACAAGGAGAAACAGGGCAACAGTGAATTTTAAGCAAAACATTTCTTTGAGTTGAAGGAGCGTTTGACCATGACCATGATCGTTGAAGTGCACTCGGCCTCCTGATGTCCTGACTGTGATTCAACACTGACACCTCTCTACTTGTGTCTCCAGATTCAGACACACCCTTGTCAACCAGTCACAGATCCAGCTCTGTTAACGGCACCAGGGAGCCTGATGGTGTCACCTTCTTCATCATCCAGGGCCTCTCCAGCCTCGGTGACAGACAGATGATCCCATTTGTCATCCTGCTGCTGGGTTACGTCATCATCCTGGGAGGAAACAGCATGATCATCTTTGTGGTATGAAACAAAGCTGTGTGTCTGTATTTAAACTTTATTGTCTCAGTCTGAGTGAGATTAATTTATTAGTTTGGTAATCATTGTCAATGTTTTTTCCCATCAGACACTGACTGATCCAAAGCTCCACTCTCCCATGTATTTCTTCCTCGCCAACTTCTCCTTTGTGGACATGCTTTTTACCACCACCACCATCCCCAAAATGCTGGCTGGCTTCCTCTCAGATGTGTCAGTCATCTCAGTTCCAGGCTGCTTCCTTCAGCTGCATTTTTTCATTCAGCTAGGTGTTACCAGCCGTGCCATCCTGACTGTCATGGCATATGACCGCTACGTGGCCATCTGCCACCCTCTACACTACACCTCCATCATGACCCGACGTGTCCAGCTGTTGCTTATTGCAGGAGCCTGGGGCTTCAGCACCCTGTACCCACTGCCGGTGACCATCTTTGCCTTTCTACGACCTTATTGTGGTCTGAATGTGGTCAAGCATGGCTGGTGTGATTTGTCATCTGTAAGGCGTCTGGCCTGTGCTGACACCTCAGTGGATAACATTGTGGCCCTTTTCTTTGCCACATTGTCTCTACTGATCCCAGGCGTCCTCATCCTGACCTCCTATGTCCTGATTGGCATTTCCATATCAAAGATGGGTGTTGGTCAGAGGCTGAAGGCCTTCAGCACATGCGCTGCCCACCTGACTGTGGTGTCCATCTCTTTCAGCTCAATCTCCTTTGTTTACATTTCCTACAGGGTGGGAAACTTTACACTAGAGGTACAAGCCCCAGATAATCTGACTTTAATATTTACCTGCTTTTGTTTATGTATGTCTCATGTATGTCCACAGAAATGGACATTTAATGTGATTTTTCTTATGCCGGCAGATCTTTTCAAGCTCTGTCAAACTGGAAGCATCTATTATCAATTTCAAATTTCAGTTTTTAAAATTTTTAAATTTATAACACAAAAAAATTGAGCAGCAACTGAATGAGCATGAATACTTTCTGAAACAACTGCCGGTCACATTATAGGTCAACCACCTCCATGAGCAAATGCATCCACTGGTGAAGGCCACGAGGTGTGGTTGAGAGATGTGGAAACATGTTGAACAACAGACTGATCTACTTTTTCATTCTGAGTAGGGAAAAGTGCTAGATAAGATGATTCATCTCTGTGTGTCCTATAGATAAAAGAAGACAAAATACACAAAACTAATTCAACCCAAACTTTACTGGCCATGTGCGTTTACACACACAGGAGTTGTCTCCGGCCCAGAGACGTCCAGTGTATAGTAGGTAGTATAAAATACATGATAGAAAAATTTAAAAATGCAATTGAAAACAGTTTAAAACACGTCCTGCTATGGGGTCAACAGTAGGGTGGGGGAGAGAAGGGGGAGCCATCGTTCACAGGTAATTGTGCACATACTTACATACAAATTACATTAAGGCAGAAGGCTTCCAAAGTGTAGTAAACTGTGGTAGTTTCACTTTTATTTTGCTAAGGAAGATTGTTCAGTCTCAACAGTCAGGGATTAACTGTTCATAAAATAAGATTTGTGTCTGTGTGTGTTCTAGGTTCGTATCATTGTAGCTCTGATGTACGCCGCTCTGAGTCCTTTCCTGAACCCAGTAATCTACAGTCTGAGGAACAAGGAGCTGCAAGAGTCCATGAGAAGGACTTTGATGAGGTTCAGGCCTGCTACTGTTTCAGCCATGAAGGTCGTCAACATAGCATCCTGACTGGGAAGGAAACCCGCCTCTCTGTTTTCTGGACACAAGAAAAAAGAAAACCTAACATTCAGGCAATTTAGGGTTCAATCTCCTGAAATAGATTACAGTGCTAAGCTTGTGTCTAAACTTCAGGCACAAAGCACATATGGACGTGTGCAGCAATGTTTTGTGATTTTTGTGACCACAGACACAGACGTTAATCTTTTTTTCTGCTATAGTCAGTTCTGGCCATCAGTTGGTATTAAACAACACACTGAGCTTCATTAACAGTATCATGAGATGCATTCAAGTACATGATCAAAATTCAGTCTGCTGAAATTCATGTTTTACTCACCCTAATTTCTTCAAGCAAGTACTGTTTCATAAGCTAGCTTTCAGCGTTTATGCTTCACCACTTTGTTCAACCACTGTTTCACTAGCAACTTTATAGCATTATTGGCCATTCTTATGGAAATTTAGAAATGAAGTGAAGAACACAAGATCAGTCTTTGTGACATTTAATTATAAGCCCCTGCAACAAGACAGTGCATACAGAAAGCAGAGGTCTCCACAGGCAAAGACCAAAGTACAGCATGAGAACTCCCTCTTTATAAAATAAGTAGACATAACATGATGTCCCTGCATGTTGAACACTATGCTCTACATCCCAACTGTTGTACTCAGATAAATATTGTAAACTCAATGGTCTCAAAACTTATCTGACAATAGTTTAACCAGTATAAAACAGAAAAAGCATCTTTCAGTTAACATTACACTTGATAGAATTTCAATCATACCACAGGGTATGTACCATATATATATTTAATTGTGATTAATAGCATGATTGTAATTTATTGGATGTGTGATTATCACTCATGTTTTATGATGACCCTCGGGCTGCACTGTATTTTGGGAAATCAGTGACTAGCAAAAAAATCTGGTGACTTTTTGGAAAGAGTTTATCTACTGACTATGCAGGAGAGTTGCAAGGGCAACTACGCAACACTGGAGGACGATGAGTCTCCACAATGTGACTGTGTGAAGAGATTTATGTCCCCACACCAAGAGTAATACCAGATAAGACACACACACACACACACGTTGTCTTTCACCACTACAAGAGTAATACCAGATCAGACACACACGTTGTCTTTCCATAACTTCAGGGCACATTACATTAACTTACTTACCTCCTTACTTTGCAAAGTGTCGTGAGATGACTTTTGTTGTGATTTGGCACTATACAAATAAAATTGAATAGAACTGAATTGAAGTGACTTGCATTCCCTTCCTGGAGAATCACCCTAACCTTGGACATAACCTCTGCTTTCCTGCACCTAACATTACCTTAACCTTTACCAAGTCATCTATCTACACTT